TGATATAGTACTCTTGTGGTTTTCTGTATATATTATACTTCACTTAAAAACTTAAAAGAAATATAATCTAGCAAGACTACCTTGGTCTTGGGAAACACTTCCCAAAAGGCTGAACAGATCACTTTCCTCTGAACAGGCATCATTTTGGTCTCCTTGTATCTGTCTCCATCTCAGTCCTCTCATACTTTAACTAACTTCCCATTTATTTTACAATGCCATTTATTCTTGCTTTTCCCAATAATTTACAGTTTATCTAGGCTGCCAATTTCCCTACCAAAGGCTTATATACTTCCTGTCTTTGTTACTCTTCTCTCTATGGGCAAGTCTCCTCATTTTAAACTTAAGAATGACTGCTCCAGAAGTACTCAAGGTTTAATAATTGCTAAATTTCACACTAAGCTTAATAGCCAAGTGTTACCTCTGCATTAAAAAATAAAGAGGTAGAGTCCTTTTGCCCTGAATTCATTTAACAAGTCATTTCCTTCCTTAACTCTACTCATAATTCCTTTTAATCAGTGGCTTTCAAACTGCTGTTCACAATGCAATAGGCTGTAAACTGATTGAGGGTCACAGAAACAGTGCAAAAGAAAAGCACAAGAATGCCTCACACATGGCAGAGCAAGGGCCTTCGTTTCAGTTGTATATGTCGGTGTGTGTAATGCTGGATCTCCAAGCATTCATTGTTGTTTGTGGTGAGTTGTGGTCTAGCCAGGCTGACTGCAACACTCACCTAAGTCTTAGAGGAAGAGCAGTTTAAGGGCAAAGGCAATTTGGTTTTGGCTGTAAAACTGGAGTTGGGGAAGGCAAGAAGGGCAGCCTGTGGGAATGACTTGACTATTGTGTAGGAACCTGAATGAATGAATTCAAGATCAAGAACTCAAGAAGCCTCTGGGAACTTCTGAGCTGCTCTCCATGGTGAAGATATGTGTTAAGCTTGAAAACTGTGAGAAACAGTTGAGGAGGCAGACAATTATTTCAAAGCTGGTGCTGAAGGATAGGGAAGAAACCAAACAAAAGGAAGTGGTCTAGCTAAACACAGTCACCATTAAATGTAGTACAAGGATTAGTTTAAGCACATTGTATAAAATGTCCCAGTTTATAATGGGGAAAACAAATAGTCAATGCTTTCATAATAAACTGTTTTGGCCAATGTAAAAAAAATTTTTTAATGAGCATTGTTCCAAAATGTTGAATGGGATCAGCTTACACCACAGCTGTTGCTGCTAGCCACGCTGTACTCCCCTAGTTACTCCACACTGCCAGAACTTCTTTCTCAATTTCAAAAGATATTAAGGTGACTGTTAACCATTAAATTAACTAGCATGTGGTTATAATTCAACCAATGGAACTACAGAGTCTGTGATGAAAACCAGTTGCTCTAACAGTGTTCCCATAGCAACCTCGGAGGGCCAGTGCTGGCTCTGGCTCCTAGACAGCTGGAAACTCTTACATGGATATGCCGTGAGAAAGTACTTTTCAGCTCGACTCCCAATGTGAGACCCTATCATAAATTTCTGCAGGATAAGTTTATTCTTCCAGGGGCTTCCTGGGAGGAGACTGGGGCAGGGAGGAGGCACAATCCATTAAGTTATGCTCTTCAAAGCATGACTATTCAGACAAAAGAAACTTAGGGCTCAACTGAAGGCTCCATTTCATTCAAACTGCCCCACTTAGCTCTACGCCCCTTCTATGATAAGAAGCATTCATGGGGGTAGGGGGCTTTGTGCATCTAGAAAGACCCAGTGACATGAATTCCCAAATTCAAATTTCCTAACAATTCTAAAAGACTTCATCTCTTCCAAGCTGTTCCAACAACAGCAGTAGTGACGTTTCTATATTGGACATGGGTCACACACTAAGGGGAGACAGTGCAAGGGAGGAATAGGGAAAGGGAAGAAAACCTAAAACTTGAATGTAGTTGATGTGCTCACTGTAGAGGAGCTAATAAAGTAATCTTAAACTGGCAGAGGCCACTATGGCAAGGGGACTAGGAAGTAGTGAAGAGGTCTGGAGAGATGAACCAATGTGGGTTGCAGTACACAAGTGCACGGAAGCAACACAAGGAATCTCCCTGTATAGATACCTTCATCTCAAACTAGCAAAAGCACCACATTTTTCTTGTTATTTTATGTTTTTTTCTTCAACAAAGTTGAAGAACAGGTTCTGCCCGGTGTGGCGGGGCAGGGGGTGGGGGGAAGGGGGGAGGTGGCCCAAATAATGTATACACACATAAGTAAATGTAAAAACAATAAAATAAAAAGCTCCAGGGGGAAAAAAAAACAGCAGTTACCTTTCTAAATTATTGACTAGGATCAAACCCCAGGGCATTTGGGAAGTGCTGAAGTGGGTCAGGAAACCACCAGAAGAGCAGCCTAACATTAAGAAGTCACGGCCTCATCAGTCCTATTTCCCACTCCTCCAAATTATCACTTTGCACTCGAGGCCCACAGCAAATCACTAAGTTCTGTTATTAGTGACAGCTGCCTGACTCACTCTGTCCTCTCAGAACCTCTGCTTTCTTCCTATAAGATCTGGACTCTCCTATCTCTCTGTGTCAATTCTTTGGCCTCAGTTTTTCTAATTTTCACCAAATACTGAACTCAGCCATGGCTTCCAGATTGTTTGCCACAGGCTTTCTGTTGCAAGGCTGAAAAATACTGCTGCCTTCTCAGTTGACAACCACCCTCTCAGGAAATACAATACGACTTATCCCTGATTTACAGTGATTTGATGTATGACTTTTCAACTTCACATTGGGATGAAAGCAATAAGCATTCAGTAGAAACCATGCTTCAAATTTTGAACTTGAACCTTTTCCTGGGTTAGCCATAGGCAACATAATCCTCTCTCTGGATGCTGGGCAGTGGCAGCTCCCTGAGGTTCGCAGCCAGTCATGTGATCTCGAGGGTAAACAACTAACACTGCATCATACTGCATGAAATAAATTACATGAAAATTTCAAGGCTTTATTATAAAATGGGCCTTGCATTAATGCTTTTTCCCAGTTACAGGTTCATGTGAGTTTTCTGAGCACAATGAAGACAGCTGAGGTTAAGCTAGCATTAGGAAAGGGGTATTAAACACATTTTTGACTTATAATATGCTCCACTATGATGTGTTTATCAGGACATAATCCCACCGTGTGTCAACTAGCACCTGTATTCACTTCTGAGGGAAAACCCAGTGTCCAGCTAAATCTGAACCCAACTCTTGTGGACAGAAGTATAGGGAAGTGTAGAGGAAGAAAGGAAGGAATGTAGTTATTTAGAATTGTGACTAATTTAAAAAGGTATGTTTTTATTGCTTTATAAACAGTTTGTAACAGAAATACACAGTATCTGCTGAAGTAAAATTTTCTTGATTTGGAGAATGAAAGACATCTTTTTCTACATATCCTCATGATATTTGCAGTTGCCTGGAGAGATTTAATTTTGGGGATATGGATTTCTGTGAGGGATCCCCATCTTTGAACCTGCTTTCCTCACCCAAACTCAAATGGTAAACAGTTACAGTCTGTAGAATCTGTTATGTCCCCCAGACTATATGCTCACACTGATTAATTTTAGGATGTAGTGGTGGCGAGTGCTAGTTTCTTCTGTATGTGAAATATTAACTAATAGCAAAAGAAAAGACAACGTGAAATTAACAGACTGCCATGCTGTGTCCTGACTGTGAATGAAGAAAAACTTATTTGGGCAGTATCCATTAGATAATATTTATAAACAAGTTCTAAACAACAAGGCCACATGTTCAAAGTCTGGACTGCTGTCACATCTGATGAAAGTCTTTTCTCATGTGTGCTAGTAAGTCCCCTAAATTCTACCTCATTTAATCATAAGGAAAGGTTTCCAAAGTGGAGGGTAGGGAATCCTGACTCACACAAAGACAGCATGCTCAGCCACCATCATACACAAGTGGTGTATGGACACTTTTTTTTGGACACAAGTGGCCAAAAGTGGCTTTCAATCTTTCTCAAGAGGGGCCAGGCTAAGAGATTATGAATCTAACCCTCCTGCCCAGTGGCCTCCAGCTCCCAGCCTCCGCTCTTCTAAATTTGGAAGTACTGGCTGAAAGTAAAAGCAGACAAGGGGCCCATCCACAGGAAAAGCTTAATCAATGATTTCATTATTATGGTTGTGCCACTGACACCATCATTCTTACTGTCATTGGTTACATGAGTATGCACTGCCCCTATCCACAGGGTTCCTGAAACACCCTTGGGCTATACTCTAATGACAATGACACTACACTAGTATTTACTGAGCTCTTCTCATTTGCCTGGCAGTGTGCTAAGCATTTTACTGAAAACATCAGTAACCATTATTAGGAAAGTATTTTATTACCATCACTATGTGATCAGAAGGCTGAGGCTTGCCCAAGCTAGTGTAAGGAGCTGAAATGTGGAGCGGCGAAGTTCTGACTTTGGGTCCCTACTTACCACTTGGAAACTGCCATTCTACTGGTACCAAACCTGCATAACTCCATCAACTCAGTCCTCTCAACTAGAAAGCACAGTGATCCATCACAATGATTAAAACACACTGTGCAAGATGTAGAACAAGTCCTCACTTTGTGAAAGACCAGAGCCAGGACACACTTTTTCAGGTGGTGGCATCTATCCTGGCATCTTTCTCCTTTGTTGGCAGGATGCAGTTGAGAACACAGTCCCCTGAGTTCTACTGGCACTGTCACAATCTGCCTCCTTCCCCTCTTGGTTGGCTTCACCACCCACCTCCTCTCCCAAGCCTTGATGCACTGGCACTGTGTTGAACTTGTGTTGTTTATTATACCAGTTTTGTTTCTCAAACTGCTACTTGCTGTTAATTTATCTGTGCAGAGAGATGATAAAGACTAAAATTTACACTCCTTAGAAGATAAAGCACACTTTGAAACACAAGAAAAAAAAAGCTCGAGGTAATAGTAACAATATTTATATTCACATTCTACTGCAAAATGGTAAAAATTCAGAACTATAAGGACTATAAAGTTTCATTCAATGGTTCCATAATTTTGTTGAAATATAAAAAACATTACTATAAATAAGACAATGTGCAAATTATCACATTTTACAGAAAAATTAAGTCTTCAAATGTTTCTGATTATCTAACCATTGCTTTCAAGTGTAGTCAGAAAAGATCATTTCAAACTCCTTTCTATTATTATTATTATTTTAAGTGCCAAGTGTGCCTTCCATACGGGAGTAACTGAGAAGCTAATGTGCTAGAAAGCAAACTTGTCCTTTTTTGTTTATTTTCTTGAGACAAGGTCAGGTATGTAGCCCAGGTTAGCCTCAAACTCTCGATCCGCCAGGCTCAGCCTCCTGAGTGTTGGTGTTACAGACACACACCACCATGCCTGGCCCAAACTCCCTTCTAGTATTGCTGTCTACACATTTAAAATGTGGGGGAAAGTTTTTAGAACTTAAGTTCCCAATGACTTAAAATGAAAGCAAGACACAAAAATCAGTGTGCAGTCAAATATGATATGAAAGCCAACACAGTTCTTAAACCAATCAAGAATTGCATCAGGTAGAACTCAGGCAGGAAACTCCAGTTTTCTTCTTCCTTCACTCTTATTGGAATGTTAGAAGTCCATATCCTGCTTCCTTAAAGTTTCTTATTATCATGGGCACACTGTTCATAGATCTCATAGTGCATTATACTCCACACATTTTGATGGGTCTGTAGGAAAGTGTTTCTGGCAAATAGTCATTAGCCTCTTCAATCCCTAAGAACATAGACAAAACAAAGATTGGTTAATAATAATCATGGATCAATTCCTAACCACCCTCCTCTGGACTCATTCCAGCTTGTCCACATCCCCAGCAATCCCACTCAGAAGTACACCCAGAGTACTATTTGTTCATGTACACTTGAAGATATGCACAAAAATGTTTACCATGGCACTGTTCATCATAACAAAACAAGCAAAGAGCAAAAAAAAAAAACTAAACTGGGAACAACCCAAATTCCATCCACAAGAGAATGTATGAACATTTGAGCATTTAATATGCTCAAAATGGAATATTTTAAAGTAGCAAATGTGAATTAACACTAGCCACATATTCAGCCTTTCTCAACTAGGTTCAAAGAGAGAATTAAGCCCTAAATGCCCAGCCTAAAACAACCATTGAAGGGAATTAGATAACTTATCTCCTAAGTATCTACAATTTAGAGTACAACTTACATAACATCTCTTTGGGAAAAAAATGAGAAAACTGCTGCCCAAATCGTTTCCTTATTCTATGGTCTGGATAAGGACCCCTGGTTGAGAAAGGCCAATATATATGAATCTTAGGAACAAGGTTGAATGTAAAAAGTGGCAAAAGGCTACATACAGCATGATACCATCTTAGTAGAATTTAAAAAATTGTTAGAAATACGGCAAAGTTATTTTTGAACAAGCAAGGAAATGACAGATTCAGGATAAAGGATAGACAAAGGTTACTCCCGGGGTAGAGGAAAGAAATACAGATTCAGTGGTCCTAAAATGTTAGTTCTAAAGCTGGGACTGACTTTATATTTATTCTGTTATTTATTTCATAACTTCTATCTCATCTGTATTCTTTTGTATTCACCAAATATTTCAAGGCTGGGTGTGGTGGCTCAGCCCTGGAATCCTAGCTACTTAGGAGGTGGAGATAGGAGGATCATGATTTGAGGCCAGTCCAGGCAAAAAGTTGGCAAGACCCTACCTCAAAAAACAAACCAGGTATGCTGGCATCATGCCACTCACCACTAAATAAATGCCTTCCAAGTCATTATCCAAATTCTTATGATTCTTTACAAACAGGGCAGGGAACAAGGGCAGAAACTTGCAACATGCCACTATAATTCTCTCATCTTGGAAGGAATTAGCAAAGAATCCTTTTAAATATTTAATCTATCAACCTACAAATTTCCCTGTTTAGAAAGAAAGTTTTTCTCAAATGCCTTACTGAAATCTATATCTATAGCAATATTGATTAGTTATTAAAAATAGCAGAGAACAGCAATAATAATGATCCCCCAAAGTAATTTTTAGCACAAATTATTTTAAGATTTCTTACCTTCAGTTCAAAAAAATTAAAACCACCTAGTTCCCATTCCATTAAGGAAAACAATGAAATCCCATCCTCACAGGGAAAATGTTACTATGTTCAGGTATAGAATAATATTTAAACATTCAATATAAAACTATCTATGGCACATTGTCTAGTATTTAGCATTCTCCCCAAATTCATTTTCTTCCTCCATTGAGGCATTGCCTTGAGGCTGTTTAAACAAGAAACGGCTGCCAGCCCAGTGGTAACAGCAGACTGTGCAGCCAGTTATATAGCCAGTAACACAAGAGAACATCTAGAAATCTAAGGATAGTATTCAACTGGCCTCAAGTTATATGCTGACTGGTGTAAACTTACACCTAAATATCAAATATTTAGAATCTTCCCTCTGTAATTACCTGAGTGTCAAGTAATTTTCTTTTCTTTTAAAGAAAATCACTATTTTTTTTTTTTTTGTAACAGCGGGGTTTGAACTCAGGACTTCACACTTGCTAGACAGGTGCTCTTACAACTTGAGCTAGTCTGCCAGCCCAAGTAATCTTTTTTTTGAAACAGGATCTCATTATTTAGCCCAATCGGGACTCAAATGCAAGAGCCTCTTTCCTCAGCCTCCCAAGTGCTAGAATTACAAGCATGCATATCCATACCAGGCTCAAGTAACATTTAACCTCACTGCAATTACCGAAAACCAAACAATAACAAAGAAAAGTCCCTACAAAATATGTTTGGTTCCCTGGTAAATCAATTACACAAGTGTAAATTACTTCTTTGACCTGAGCTATAATCTAACAGATGATTTTGAAATATTTTAAGAGACCTTTGTGGATTCAAAGATTGTCCGTATTATACTATTTAAGTAGAAAGAGGTTATTTTTGAGGTGGTTTCCATAAAGAAAGACTTATGCAGCCAGTGCAAAAACAAAAAAAAAGAAAAGAGCGTCTTGTTTACTTGACTCCTCTTTTCCTTTCTCCTTGGTAGTAGTTTCTTGTGTGAATCGGGTCCAACTCCTCCTGCTGTGAATTCTAATCATGTGTACACAGAATGATGACCTAGAGCCATGGAAGCATACATGATATCACTCATTTGGCATCTTGAAGTTTCCCAAAGGAATAGGTGAGAGAGAGGCAAAGCTGGGAAACAGAAGTTCCTAATGAAATACAAAGTGCTTTAGTCAGTAGCAAAAATGCCTTGAGCAAGTAGAGGGCATGCTGGTGGGAAGGCTGCTGGAGGTGATTTTCCAAGAGAAGAACTGGAATTTTGGTGCTTGCTCCTCACAGAAGACATTTGTGGTGCTTACTACACTTACGAAGCAGATTCTGTGAGTTAAAAACATACACGAGTATTCTTCCTGGAATGATAGCTGCCAAAAAGTTGTGAACTCAACAGTCAGAGTCATAAATAGTTGCCCAGAACACTACATTAAATTTTAGCACTAAGGACTGATGACACATAGTACAGATTTTTAAAGGTGCATAATCTCAGAATAATATATGGTTATTTTCAAAATGGAAACAAATCTTTTCATTTAGACCCCTCAGGATTTCAGTTTCAAGATGGTCTGGATGCTTAACCAAGTAGCATTGCTTAGTTTAGCTTATTCTAAATACCTTCAAAACTGGTGGTATTTTAGTTTTTTTTTTCTAGACAGGCTGACCCCAGACTCATGATCCTCCTATATCAGTCTCCTGAGGGCTGGGACTGCAGGAGCGTGCCAGTGTGCCTGGCCTAACTGATTCTTCTTCTTTTATGAAAAGCCACACATTTATTTAGCAAGTCTTTATTTGGTGTGTACTATGTGCCAAACACTCTTCTAGGCTCTATAAACATAACACAGAACAAACCTGAAAAAAAATCCCACCCTCACTAATAAGTACAGACAAGAAACAAAATATGTAAAAAACAAAAAAATAGATTCCATGATCATAAATGCATGGAGACAAATACAGCAGGGAAGGCAGGTGTGGTGACCAGAAGGTCTTTGTGAACTAGGGAGCCACTGTCAGACTCGGTAGGACAGCAACAAAATCTGACTATGTTTTAACTGGATTAGTCTGTTATGCTAATGCAGGTCAAGAGAGGCAAGGATGGAAACTCAGTCACCAGACAGCAGACACTGCAGAGTCCTGATAAGAGATGGTAGCAGTACTCGAAGGGCAGAAATGGAGGTAGTGAAAGGGGTCAGGTTCCAGTTCTACTTTGAATATAGAATCATATTCAAAGTTTGAGGACAGATAATTTATGGACTGTGACAGAAAGAAAGAAGTAAGGATAATTCTACACTTTGGGTGCACTTTGCTAAAAACAAACAAACAAACACACAGATTTGGTGTAGAACAACTCCAGCTGCCTAGGTCAATTACTTTCAAATCTTTTCGAATCTCTTCTGGTGTTTACAGCCACCCTTCTTATACTTAATTTTTTTAGTTCACTATCACCTGCTGACTTTTAGTTATGATGTCAGAGGATTTAATTCACTTACATCATGCCAACTGGCCCAGAATACACTGTATACACCCAAGAGCATGTTCCCTTCCTCATCCTCCCCAAATCACAGCTCTGAAGGAAAGTGGTTTCCAGAGTTGACCTAATAAAGGCTACATAAATATCCTCCAAAGCAGAGTGTATTATAATATTGTAATGATCTCTCCTTTCATGTTTTCACCTTTTTGTTTTTTGTTTTTTGTTTTTTTGCTTTTCTAATCCTCTCTCTTAACGAGACTACTCTCGATATGACCAAACACAGCAGGTAATATAATCTCTTCTATTTTTTTTCCTGGAACCTTCCATCCCTCTTCTCCAATCTGGACCTTCTTGTATTATGCCCATCCTGGAGCATCTTTTCACCTTCCTTCTTTTCACCTTAGTCCAAACTGTATCTTGATTTCTGGATCTTTTGGTTTGCTTCCTTCATTTTGATGGAGGACATCCTCAAGTGGAGGTAACACACCATAACAGAGTTAACACTTCTAGAAAAAAAACCCCAGTTCCACCATTTACTAGCTATGTGACTTTGAGAACTTGTTTCTCTATGCCTTTGTTTCTCTGTGTGTAAAACAGGGAATTGGTGATATTGTTTTTTTGCTGTGAAGGGTACATAGTAAGCACTAGCACTATATCAGTGTTACTGTGGTGATGGTTCCAGAGGCTCTATATGTGAGAAATCACATTTTTGAGACTTTATCTGTCAAAACTGTCATTAGCCTATATCCACCCTTGACAAATGGTTCAGATGGGATGTAAATTGGAAATTACTTCCCTTGTTATTCCAAAGGTGTTTACCTTCTAGTTTCTAACACCATTAATGAGAAGTGGTATGACGATGGCATTTTAATTCCTGAGCCTTTGTAAGTGACCTATTTCTTCTTTCTAATTAAGGGAAAGATTTCATTTATTTGACCATCAGGCTTTCACAGCACAAAGGCTTTTTTTTTCCCTCCACGCACAAGGTTGAGAGATGTAAGATTTAATACTATAAAATGTCTATTTCCTATCAATTAAGCTGTTAGTTAAAAACAATCATGGCAGTTTAGGTCAGCATTGCTCAAAATATGATTCCACATGTCCTATGGTATTAAAGGGTATTATGTAAAGATAAATGCCAACAGTGTTGCCAGCAGTATTTTCTCTAAAAATGCATTGTTTAAACACTTGGGGAAGAATCAAATGGAAAAAAACAATTTTTTT